ACCACCTTATAGCCTCCTCCACCTTTAAATGCTGATTTACACACCTATCAAACACTTCTTTATACTTAAATCTCAACAGACCATCACCCATCCACTTATGATTCCAAAAGTCAATAGTGGATTCTTTACCCACTTTCCACCTCAAGTTTCTCACTACCAATTCCCTAGTAGAGTATGTACCTTTCCACAATTGGGACTGCCAACTTTCTCATCTTCCCTTACCAATAAAGCCACTATTATCCACATCATATTTAGCAACAAAAACTTCCTTCCACAATTGATCTCCATCTTTAATAGACCTCCACCACCATTTGGAGAGCATAACTAAATTAACAAGTTTGATCTTGTGAATCCCCATACCGCCTTCAGCTTTAGGAGTGCAAACTTTATCCCAACTCACCAAATGGTATTTTTGGTTACTATCAAAAGAGCCCCATAAAAAATTGCGCACGAGCCTCTCAATTTCCTAACAATTGGGGCTGGCATATAAAGCAAGGATAGCAAGTAAACAAGCATATTAGATAGAGTTTATTTGATCAAAGTAACACACCCTCCAGGAGATAAAAATTTAGACTTCCATAAATCTAGCTTAGAGATAACTCTATTCATAACTGGGTCACATACCGATCTTGATAACTTTTTATCTGAAATAAGAATGCCTAGATAATTAAAAGGAAGACTATCAACCGCACACCCCATTGACAATGCTAATTCATCAACCAAGGCAGGTTCAACACCAACACCCACTACTGTGGTTTTTGAAAAATTAACTTTAAGACCCATAGTAACCTCACAACATCGTAAGAATAAAGAGATAACTTGAACCTGATCCACATTTGCATAACAGAATATGAGTCTGTCATCAGCATATTGGAGGTGGGAGATAATAGGGCCCCCAATAGCCACCCTGAAGCCATTGAACCTACCTCTTTGTTCAATTCTTTTAAGCATTAGGCTAAAACCCTCCGCCACCAAAATGAACAGAAACGGTGACAATGGGTTTCATTGCTTCAAACCTTTAGAAGCCTTAAAAACCCCCTTTGGGCTTCCATTCACCATGACTGAAAAATGAACCGATGATAAGCAACCTCTAATACATCTTCCCCATCTAACCCCAAACTTTATTCTCAGCATAATCTCATCTAAAACATTTCACTCACCCCTATGCCGTCTCTAAATCTAATTTCAACACCACACCTGGTTCTGCGCACAAAACTCTAGAATGAAGGCATTCCTGAGCAGTTAAAACACTATCTGTGATAATTCTTCCTTTAATAAAAGCTGATTGGCGGCCCAAGACCATAATGACAACACCTTCTTCAATGTGAGGGATAATAACTTTGCAATAATCTTATAGAGACTTGTTAACAAGCTAATAGGTCTCAGATCATAAATACTAGCGATCACATTCTTTTTAGGTATTAGAGCAATAAACGTAGAGTTAATGCTCTTATCTATAACTCCATGATTAAAGAAATCAACTACGATATAAAACACCTCATCCCCTACTAAATCCTAGAACTTACGGAAAAAAACCAAGAGGAAACCATATGGTTCAGATGCCTTATCCCCGTTAAGAGAGAAAACAACACGTTTTACTTCATCCTTAGTCGCAGGTATTTCCAATTCATGGGCCTGAAAATCAAATAAAATTCGAAACTATACCTCAGGAAAATAGACACCCATAATGCATTCACTAGTAAAAGCCTCTTCAAAATGTCTAACATTAACAAACTCAGTATCCCAAACCTCACCATTCTCCTCAACTACGTTTCCAAAAGAAATTCCAGAGATATCATTAATGTGCTTTATAAAGGCTAAGATATTGACATTCACAAAATGAATGGTCTAGATTCGTTTTTTAGAGATGACTCATTTTGACTGTATTTAGGGTTCAAATTGAAGAATTTTTTTTTTTTGAGGAATTGATTATTGAGATGAAGAGAGTGTACGTGCAAAATTTGGGGTCATACAAATACCACAAACATGGTCTTCTAGAAGTGTCGTTGCATTATACTATGATACAACCGTTGCATTGGATTATTGATCATTGCTTATATATATATATATATATATATATATACGACCAAACTACTTACTTATTT